CTTTCCCCCGCGGTTTTCCACTAAACGTCTCGTGAGAGCACGCTCAATCACAAGAGCGCCAGGTACTTCCGTGAAGGGAAGACTGCGCGTACTTTGCACGTAACACAACGTGGGAGCAGGGCTCAACCACGTGCGCCAGGTACGTGTCACGCGCTGCTGCTCTTTATATTTTCAGCTTTTACGAAAATATTTAAAAATTCATTATATTCATAATAAATTATCTTGAAAGAAATATATTCCACCATTCATATATCGAAATGCTGCATCAATTGATGACGGTATACCTGAAAAATCTAGTGATATCATTCCAAAATTCGTCTTTTGACATTCATCGTATTCAGCATAATATATATGATTATAAAATATGTATGTTTCATCTGAATTGAAACTCAGTATTGTATGTATTTTGATTGTTGTGGTAAACCCATTTCTTGAATATGTTTTGGTATCAACTTACTAACTTAAGACTAGTATAATCGATTTTGTAATGTATATTATCAATAAATAAAACAAGATTTCTCCACGTGGTCGTTGATAAATAGCTATAATTCCTCCAAAATCTAAATTCATGATCCAAATCCATTCATAGCATAATACATACAATATATCACATATAATAAAAAAATGTTGAATATTCCGTGGTATTACATAAAGATGGAATGGTTTTTAGTTATGGTGGTGGTAATACAGAAGATTTATGACCATATAAATTTTGAATTGCAAATATATCATCTGTATGTACATCTAATAATCCAAGATAATAAGCATACATAATAGCATTTCTGTTATTTGTTTCGTTCGATTGCTAATGTCTGTCCCATTTCATGAAGTAAAACAGAAAATAAATTCTTTCTTTCTTCTGTATTTGCATCTCTATGATAATACCAATCTTCATCTACATCAATATGAATTTCTAATGGAGAATAAGTTGCATTAGGAAATTTATCATGTGTTGATATACTACTTTTTCCATTAAATTTACTTTAACACATATTTTGATCACGTTGACATTGGTGTACACCTCGTTTATTGGATATAATTAGATCAGGATATAAAATATCTCTCCCAACATTTAAATTTGTATGAAGCGACTATGTTTTAAATGCTAATTCAGTTAAATCGATTATTTCCTGATTTACATTACTATAATACCATTTTATTGAAATCTTATTCCATTTTTGTGAAGATGCTTTAAAATGTGTATCTTGTACACCACATCATGGTTGATCCATAACTCTAGTGTGTCACTATTTAACTCTCTATCTAATGGCCATTAATAATATTCTTGGTATTTAAGAAGTGAATCACTACCATCATTTTTTGCAGAATTATATCCAGGATTTATTAATTTTTGCATTGCTGATTCACTAGTAGCATATTAACTATACATGATGAGGATGATAATAGATTAAATCACCTTGATGAATCACATTTCAGTAGACCATATTTTATTTGAAGAGCATATTTTCTTCAATAGACCATATTTTTTAATAGAGCATATTTTATTTCAATACTTTACCTTAATTTTTTCAATTGGAAATTTAGCATGTGCTATTACGACCTTTCACCATTTCAGTAATTTTGTTATGCATTATAACATGATATGTAGCTTGAGCCAGTTTCGTTACAACGTCCATTTCTAACGGGATAAGTATTATCTTTCTAAATGGATGTTGCATGCACGAAACTGAATCAAGCTGCATACATGTCAAAATGCACAAGACAATAACTGAATTGATGAAAGTTCGAGAATACGTTATTGCTAATCTACGAAAGTTAAATACAAAATATGGAAGTAATAAAATAGAATTAGATCTAAAAATTGATATACAATGACAAATCTTTAGTGTAATTTTTCATAATCGATATGCTAATTGTTTAAATGAAAAAATATGTAAAAGATCTTTTGAAAATTAAATATTTGAAATTAATATATAAAGAACTTATGGAAGAGGATATTATTGTATTTTCTACATGAATGAATGTTATTGCGGAAAATGTGGCTTAGAAAATATTTGGATCAATAAAAATCAACGCCTCAAATAATGTAAAAATAATGATAGTTTGGGATAAATATTGTTAAAATGAGGTAATTTAATATGTTTTAATACACTTTTATGAGAAAAATGGGCGTATTTAAATATAAGGAAATACAAAAAATATGGTCCAGGAGCCTTTGTTTTATATACTGTTCATATTAAACTGTGCAATTAGCATTATTTGTTGAAAGAGTTTGAATAACACATTTGGAGGCTTTTTTGTGGAAAAGACGATTGTGCGTCTGAAAATGCGTGATTTAGAGGTCATTTTCACAGAAAGCTGTTGCATTTTCAAAAAACTTTATAAGACATGCTTTAAGCACATGTACTCGTAAATTAATTATTGTGAAGAAATGTGAAGAAATCGCCCCTAATGTAAATATAAACGACGCAAGAGGGTAGTCAAACAATTGCATTTGCGTAATTTTTGAAAAAGAAATAATAGATCGGCGTTCATGTTATCTGATAGAGTACACCCTATCCCTAACAAAAGTTTAAAGAAAACGTTTGAGGCACTTTGAGAAATGCTTATATTTGTTATTTATTTAAATTGCCAATATTGCACGCAATATTGCGTGAAAACTAGTAAAAACTCCCAAAAAATTTACATCAACTCATTGAAAAACTAAATATACAGATCAAATTTAATTTATTAATTAAAAGAAAAATCTTTATCTTCAAGTTTGTATTTGTAAGAAGACGCCGAAAAAAATCAGTTTTTCAATTTTTCAAAAATTCAGTGTTAACGATGAAAATTGGACCTATACCACCATTATGAGTATATTTTTCTCTTTTTCGGCCATTCCTTCTGAGATATACAATTTTCATAAACAGGAGAGTACATTAAATATCTAAAACTTGTGCTTAAAAATGGAACCAGTCTCATTTTCGTTGCACTGTGAATTTGCGAAAACGGCAACATTTAGAAATATCGCGAGAAAGTATGTGAAGTTGAAACAGCACTAGTTTGATAGTCCAAGATATTTCTCAGTTTTTCTCATCATCCAAATTGTGAACTACATACATGAAACTTTTCTGACATTTTAAGACCACTATCTTTTTGATTTACTAGTAAAAACCAAATTGAAATTTTAACATTCACGTTTTTACTTGGTGAAAAGTTTCGAGTTCAAGAATGATGGAAATGAGTTTTCTGTTCTACAACAACATCCTTATGTGTGTGTATGTTTGTGTTATATATAATGATCAATACGTATTTTTGTCATTGATAATAGCTCCCTGGATTGTGCTGACGATGTTCTAATGGTGCCCATCTGGGAATGTTGGGCCAACAGTGCAGATCGTCCAAATATTTTACGGCAGTGCTTGGTAAGAAAACGATAAAATTCCCATTAAAAATTGATCTTGTAATGAGAGTCATAATATCATTTCATTTACGCTATTTACCGTTGTTTGCACATAAATTCGTATATTATTCTATTATAGTAAGTAAATTAACTTATATATTATATATTACTCCGTGTTAAATAAAATAAATATTATGTATATTGTGCCGTCATGGGATTGTGCAACCCAATAACGCCTCCGTCTCGTATGTGTGAACACCCACAGGCAGCGAGGATAGCAGGCGCCGAAAGCAGAGGTTCTTAAACGCGCGGCCTGGTATCCGTTGCCCGTACTAGACGGTGGCGAACTAGCGAGCAACGTTTTCCTTGTGGATGGTTGAGAGAGGGGAAGCAACCCCACCACTGAAAAATTTCCCCAGGTGTCGGGCGATATGTACGCGAACCCGCAAGCGGGAGCTCTCTTCTCTTGCCACCACTCGTCGAGTAAGCAGCTCTTCTCTTAGGGTTCCCGATCACCGAGCCAGCAGCACTTTCGTTAACATTAGTTTAGATATTGTTTGCCGCTGCAACGACTACTAGGTAGGAGTATTCGCCGTCGAACAGAC